AAAAAAACCTCTTATGGAACAAATGAGAAAAACAGACAGCAGTAAGTTGCCAGCACCACCTGGCAACCTGAATTAGCTGTGGGTACGTGAAAGTTCTCATCAGGAACTGACATCCCTCTGGGGAGTGGGAGATCAGAATCAAAATAGGAGAATAAAAATCTGAGAAAGTCTCCAAGGAGCCAAGGGAAATACAGGACAGTAAATATTACATGCATCCCAGAAAATTAGAAGGAACTATAATATAAGGATATTTAAGGATAAAAGTAAGGAAATTTGGGTAAATATCACCTATTGTCAAGTATATGAGATACCTGGATTTCCAAAGCCCTTTTGACAGAGTCCCTAATCAAAGACTTTAAGGGCAGTTAAACAGTGTCTGAGTAAAACTTTCTACATTTATGTTTAAATTTAGAGAGGTGACTACCTGCTGTGAAGGTATGTCATCAGTAGAGTTCTGCAGAGATCTGTGGTGAGACTTGTGCTATTTTGCAGTATTTATAAATGACCTGGCTAACAGCTGAGAACTGAGGTCATAGAAAATGTAATTTTAATGATAGTTATGTGGCATAGTGTGGAATTCCAGAACAACCCCATGAAATCAGGTAGCAATACAACAGGAAATGATAAACATAAATAAATGTAAGGAAAACACAGTTATTACACAGAATGGGGATCCTGGTTTTATGATGGATAATTCCATGAAATTGTCCCTGCTCAGTAGCAGTCAAAGGAGCAAATTAACACTGGGAAACATCAGAAAAGTGTAAGGAACTAGCAGAAAACTTCTGTCCAATGCAACCATTGCATTGTTCACTTCCAATTCTTGAATCTTAAATAGCAAAGAGACGGAACAGGATTTTTCTTTTTTCTCCTTTACCTCTCCAATACCAGCAGAGCATGAAATGAGATGTGTAGGAGTCAAGTTCAAAGCAATAGTTCTTCAAGCAAGAGGAGGCTGAGGTGTGGAACTTGCAGCCAGAGGTGGTGAGGGTGAAAAGGGCTCACAGTGGTTCAGGGTGCAATGGACAAGTACCTGAAATAAAGACTCACTCCAGGTTACCAAACAGGGCATATTCTGAGCTGCAAAGAGTTGGGAGTTGGAAAGAGGAAATATTGCACATGTTTGCTCTTCTTTTACTGCAAGCAGATCAATGCTGGAGACAGATGACTGACTGGCTTAGAAGAACCCTGACTCAATATGACTGTTCTGTGGAAACACAGATGTGCTGAAGCTTTTACAATAAAGACAAAAAAACCTCCCAACCTATTAATCTTCAGTTATATACTGATTTTTGTAACATTACTTTCACATTCACTTCTCATATCTGAACTTCCATTCCATCATATCTTTCTGAATAAGAAAAGGTATAACAAGGGAATATGCTTGAATTTTGAATTTTTCAATTCAGTCTGTAACTCAGCAGGTGGAAAGAAGTCACTTCACACTTCATGTGATACCCACCAGCATTCATTTCAGACAAGAGGGACTAAATAGAAGTCACAGCATGAAAAGTAGACAAGAGTGAATATGATGGGGAAGAAAACAATAGCTCCTACCTGGACTGTTTGGAGTGAAATGCCATCATTCAGGAATGTCCTATAGTTCCCTGTTCTGCCCATTTCACTTTCACCAACAGTAAGTTTACGCATAAGTGTAGAGCAAACAGTTTACTTGTGAACTAACTATACTGATGGGGACTATATAGAATACTTCATATGAATTACCATGGAATATTTCAAAACAAAATCATTGTAATGAGAAGCCAAAGGAGATGGTACAGTAAATCCACATAGTGCCAGAAGTACAATGAAAGACAATTTTATTTACAGAAGAAAAGAAAATAGTTGACTCAAAACCAAGAATGTATATTTGTTTAAACAAATATAGCTATTTTTTTAGTGAAATGTTTTCCTTGTTGGCTATTTAGGACGATAATGTCTTAAGATTGTCATCTACAAAAGCAGAAATACCTTTTCTACATAAGCAGTTTGTTAGCCCAGTTGTAATGGACTAATTAATGGGAAAGGAAAAGGACAAATAAGCTTTGAATTTCTCAGTCTAGGACTCAGCACTTTGTGTTTGACCCTGAGTAAACATTTCTGTTCCCAAACCAACAACACTGGCATAAGACACACAAAGTACAAGTATGCTTGATAAATCTAGAAGAAGTTGGTGTTTATATCATCATCTCAAGAAAGGAAAAAAAAAGAAGCTGGGGACTGTTCTCTAGTCCTCAGATCAGGAGACAAGGTCTGCTGCATGCAGCCTACATGGGAACTCAGTTCAGGTCTCTTCTGTGCTCCAAACGTCCCTGAAGCTCTACGACAACAAAACTTCTACATGTTTATCCCAGGTGTTTTGAAATAAACCCATTGTACTGTGTTAAAGTCTGCAAGATTACAGCCTGCAGCATTAAACATATTTCAAGTCCTACAGCGTAGCAAAACAGCACAGGGGACACCTGAAGGTTCAAAATCATGTTGGAAGAATTTTGAAAACATATGAAGGGTGGAAAGAGGCAAAGCTGATTCAGAATGAGCTTTTCCTCACCAGAAATGAAGGTGAGAGACTCTTGTATCTGATCATTTGACTGATGTCACTAGATTGCCTGTTATTTTAAAATTCATACATAAAAGAAATGGACAATATGAACTACAGGTATGGCTGCATTTCTACATGCTCCTCTACCACCTGACTTCAAGATCAATTTTGATGATCTTTCTCAGTCTAGGGGAGGGTCTAAGATCCCCCTGTGAAGCAAAGGTGACATATAAATTAAATAAATCATGGCCAGAGTATAAAGCCCTTTGTTCTGTGGTCTTTCTGATTCTCAGCCTGACTTACAAAACAAAAATGTGTAACGCCAGGGACCAGCCTAGAACTTTGGCCTGTCGTGCATTGTCTGTGAAATTCTCTTTTACCTTTTACTATTTCTTAGTGCTGTGGTAAATGAATGAGTGGGCACATTATGTGCCCATATATCTGTGTCTGTCATTCTGAGTGAGTGTCTGCCTCTGTCCTTGACTTACTTTTTTTCTTTCTTCATGTTTCTTTTTTCTTCCTTTTTACAATATCTCAGTTCTAGTCAGACCCTCTCTGTTCAACACTTCTTTTATTCCTAAAACACTCATAATGCTATTCAGTGAATATCTGTACTGCAGGAATAGACAGAATACAGAGTGCTTACCACTGTGTAAATGATGTGCTCCCTGAGATATTTTCATGCACTGCGTGCATGGTTGTCCTTCACTCAAATTATGAAATAAAAAGAAATGTATCTAGCTTTCTTTTGAATTCTTGAAATAAGTTTGAGCAATTATAACATATGTTTGTCTTCTTGGGTTGAAACCAATAATAAAAAGGCGAGAAACAACAAAGACTTAGACTCAATAGGAAATACGAATGTGTCAGGTTCTTGAGGAACTGACGAAGAAGCTTGCTTTTACAGAGAATAGGTTACCAAATAAAAGCCAGAAATCTCCTAACTTACTGGTATGAATGTTAAGATTCTTGACAGCATTTCAAGCACATTCAAAAACATTTCAATTTTGGATTTTACTATCACATATTATATATTGTTAGTCTACCACTATGAAATCACTTGGGTTACAAACCCCCAGTGCCAGATGAGGCTTTGTCTGAGCCAGTGAAGGAAACAATATCCTTCCTAAGGACTACCTCTTCTTCTCTGGCCCGAGGACAAGTAAAATAGTCTCTGTGGCTGACTGGTAGCAAAGCAACATAAGCATACATCTTGGGCAGAAAATCTCTCTTCCAATCCTGATCAAGATTCTGTTGGGGGACTTACTGAGAGTAATTTCTTTTTCGGACTGTGATGTTTTCCCCTAGTGGCAGGATTGGATCAGTTGGGAGGATCTACTGGGTTTCTCCTTGCTATTTTTGAACTTCTTCAACATATTCCATACAGCAGTCTACAATTCTAGAGCACAAAACAGGTATAAATGCACGTTCTCTATAATTTGATAGATATCCTGCCCTATTTCTCACTCAAATACAAGGAAGACAGGGAGCAAGTTCACAGAATTGCCTCTGTGACAGTCAGAGACCAGAGCATGTGCTCTGACTTGAGGCTGAGGCTCAGCCTGGAGGATAGGAGGTGTTGAGGTGCACTGAATGCCAACCCTCTGGGTGTACTGGGTGGTAGACGAGAGGCAATAAACATAACTACACTGAAATTAGACAGGTTCTAACAGGGTAAAGTGCTGACTGGAAAAAGCCCTGAGCAATCTGACCCTGCTTCATGCAGGAGGTTTGCCTAGAGATCTCCTGTGGTCCCTCCTGACCTGAGCTACCCAATAATCTGATCTCCAACAGCCACCCTCCAACAGCAGAGCTTGTCTTTCAGTCTGGAGTAAGACACAGATGAAGCATTGCTTCTGTTAAAGAATGTGCAAAAATAACAAAGCAACAACTTAATTTTTTTCTAACTCTTTCACTTGCAAGTGGAATCAAGATATCATCCCAAGACAATCACAGTGGCCAAAAGCTCCTGAAGTAGTCAACCTGTCTAATGGAAAGAATTCCAGAAGTCTCCTAGCTCTTCCTGGCTGGGGGTTACACCTAATTCCCGCATATTTCTCTCTGTGATAGCACAGACAGAAGAAGTCAGTATAGTATGATTAGCTGTCAAGCTAGACTGCAGAAAGTCAAAATTTCCCTTAAATTGCAAAATTGTTCAAAACACTGGAAACACCATTTAGTACCACAAAATAAATGCAGAATGAAGAAGACTACCCTTTTAACAGGATGAGTTCCTTTTATCTTGAAAACATATTGCATTAAGACAATACATGCTAGAAGGAATTTATTTTTTTTTAACAGTAATCTGTATGAAACCTCCAGTACCCCTGAAGAAACTTCCATGAACTGATTTCTGTTGTGTGGAGTTCCTAACATGGTGAACTCAAGAGCCTGTAAATACTTTTATTTAGACTATGCATTTAAATACTATGGATCTAAAAAGATTTCATTAAATTACCTGTTACCATGAACATGAGAAGCACAAAATGCAAAGCTGTAGTGGAGCAGAGTTGGATCAATGACAGAACCATTTTCTGAATATTCAATCAGCTCATCGAGATAGCAGAGATGGCGGTGACAGCCTCTCACCCCGTAGCGAGCGCAGTATTCATCCAACACGAAGACCTGACCCGGGCTAAACCAGCCCTAAAAGGCAAAAGAACCACACAACACTTTGAGATTTCTTTTTCCATTCAACTTTAAATCAGACAAAGAATAGAAAGGTAAATTTTTATGTCCATTACATAAACTTTTTATATTAGAATTACTTTTATCTGAGTAATGTTGACAGCACCGGAAGTTAGATCCTACAATAGCTCTCTTACTGAATGGATTCAATGTCAGGAAACTATCTGCAGTTATGAGTTACCACTACTATGAAACACATTGTTTAGAAAAAACATGCTAATACATCCAAAGTCTGATACAGACTAAATTATATACCAAAACCTAAAATAAACTAACACTTTAAAATAATTAATTTGGTTTTAGCAATCAATTGTAAGATATAAGCTAAAATTTTGGAAATGATGAGGGACATTAACATGGACATTAAAAACCAGTTTCTGGGTGGCCAGTTCTCTGTGGCTGCAACTTTAATATTCTGACCACAATTCAACCCTTTACTCATGTAACATGCATACATTCTAACAACTTTAAAACAACTTTTACTAGTAAAGAGATGCAAAGCTAGGTAGTTTGTTAAAAGCCACCTGATTAAGATGAGTAAGATTTGACCTTAAATAATTATTAGATATTGTCAAGCTTACTGAGATTTCTCGGTCAGAGTCTTGATGAGAACAGCTTAACCCTGACACAGAGATGAGCAAAGTACAGACCCCTTCACACCACAAAAACAGTTCTAGAGTGAATCCAGAGTGTAAAAAATATAATTGAGTCTTGATGCAGAAATATGGTAAGTATAGCAGAATGAGCTTCCAAAAAGCATAATGGAGAAAAACCTAAACCTTAGAAAACTACAACTACTGCACATTACGTTCTGCGTAAGCATTTTTCTTTGTTCTTGCTTTGATTGTGGTGATATTTCCCTCTCATCATCTCTCATCACTCCATCTCATCAAATGGTTAAGAGAGATTGAGGAATACCTGAACTCAAATATACAAATTATTTGGATAAGCAAAATGATTTTGAAAATTAATGAATTTCTAACATTAGTATAGCAGCCGAAGATCAATATTTCCCTAATGCTTGTGAATATTTCTGCAAGATCAGATGTTTAATACTTGTACAAAATATCAGCAAAAATACTATTGAAAGATACTTAAAAATATATTCACATCAGTTTCAAATAATCTGTTTTAACTTTAGTAGAAGACTTGTTTGAGATTCAAGCTTTATATCCTCCCCAAACTCTTCAATTTAGCATATTATCTGCAAACAAGAACACCTCAAAGGTATTTCATATTTAATAAATTTTATTGCTCCTAATTAATTTCTTTGAAGTCAGTGTTTCCACTGCCTTTAAGGAGCTTTAGCTGTTTCTAGAGAACACTTGGCTTTAGAACCCAGAACAGTACTCAGCATGTTAATCTAATATCTGATCATGTTACAAAGTCTCATATAGCTTACACAGTGTTTGATACAAAATAAGGTATTCTATTGAAAGAAGAAAGAAAAGTCTTTTAAACTGTATTTCTGCAATAATATGTATCCTAGCCATAGATATAATCAACAGTGGTTATTGTGATTGATATTCTCCCAATATGTTGTCATTGTCACTGATCTCTCCCTACTTTTTTATGGAAAACATAACAAAATGTTATGTATCATTGACTAGCAGTACAAAAGCAAACTACTAAAATTTCTGCTCATTCTTATAAGATATAATTGTGACAATAAAGAATACAAAATTTTAAAGAACTCATTAATTTAACTTCAGTCTCTCTTAAAAGATCTGTTTGTGTGGTTGCTTTTCATATAAATGTGAGCTTTCCTTGCCCTTGTTCAATCCCACATCATGCACGAGTCTCTCAAACACATAAAACCTATATCCTACAAAGTATTGGAGCTAGATAACCAATTTTTTTTTACTTTGTAATTGGAAAAAAAAACCCCAAAACTCCAGATCCCCCACCTCCCAAACACTCTCCCTATACCAAGAAGAATGAAGAACTGAAGAAATTGAAGTTATATAATAATTTAACACAGAACTTTGCATAATATTAATTCCTACACATTTTAATTTTTTTAACAAGTTCTACATGTGGTTACAATGTATTTGTTGAAATAAGGGATGAATTGTTTTTAAAAAATTATAGGAAATGACCTGTTGGAGAAAAGAAAAATCACAAATAACCATGTATTCTATTGTTACCTTGACATTCCCAATGTTTTTAAAATAAAAAAATGTAGTTAAATATGCAATTAAAAAAATTATCATCCATTCCACTTATTAAAAGCTGAATTTAAAAAAGAATGGTAAGAAATACATCTGCTTTATGGTTGCTATAGCACTGTGCATTTCACCTAACCTCTTCTAAAAGTTCCTGATTTCAAGGTTATATTAAGTGTCTTACTATATTATTATTATAAAAAAAGATTTTGACCCCAATGCACTGGTAGAAAGCTAACCATTTTCTCTTTGAGTGCCAATTACTTTGTACAGATGTACCTTCAGGCCTCTTTGATTCAGTGTGCAACCCACAGATAGAAAATGAGTCCTTTAACTTTTCTATACATACATATCTGGCAGTATTTTAAAAGGGAGGCAACTGTCATCAAATAATAATCTTTCCCCCATTTTTAACAACTGCAAACAAACCTAAAAATTCCAATTATTATCTTTGTATTACAAGACTAGTCAGAACAATTGAAAAAAGAAGTAAAAATCTCCATTATCTTTTTTTGTTGCTGTTGGGACATTAAAAAGAAAAGAAATTATGTGCTGTGAGGCATTTTAGATCCCTAGTGAGAGATCACTATTTCAGGCATGATAGCAGGTGAAAAATTAAGCCTCAGGAAGTTATGAGGTCTGACCCATACAAACCTGTTAATGAGGGTGTCTAATCTGATGAATTTCCCCAAGATTGTTGCTGGTTTTCTTCCCTTACGAAAACAAAACCTGAAGCAGCCCTATTCTCAACTACTTCACAAAGCACAGAACAGAAAATGATTGAAAATGAAAAGGAAATTGCAGCCAATGTTGTACCTTTTATGATGGCAATGATGGTATTCTTTGAATGTGGAAAACATTCATTTTGATACAGAGATCACATTCTATTTGCTCTTGCTTAATAATTATACTCTCCTTTGTTACTTGTAGCTCAGGTAATGCATATATGCACATCTATCTATATTGCTTATGGGTCTGCCTCCCTTCCTTGTTTTTTTTCCTTCACACCAGAGTGGAATGAAGAATTACAAAACAGGTGAAAATGTCTGAGGTGAGGCAACTACAATTGGACATTAAAATACCTGTACAGGTGCCAGTAAATCCCACCACAGGAGTTCTTGCCATCGTCAAAACTTTCTGTTTTTATTCAAGCCTCTTCAGAGGACACGACAAATTTCAGCTGATAAAATTGAAGACAGTTGGTGTCTCTTTGCTTTCTATTGAGTGGCACAGCAGCAGCTTGCAAGTATGTAATTTTCAAATTTAAAACCAATCGATCAGACCCTTTATTCCACCTACAACTGCAGTTGTTGAATGAGTGAGGAAGAAAGGACTACTTTGTAACAACTATTTCTCACTTCTTTATATCTATCTTCCAGCCGGTACTCACCAAACAAGAATAGGAGTCATTCAATCTGTGATCCAAGGTCTGTCTTTGAAGCAGTCTAAAGAGGGAAGCATGGTCAAATTTGCAGGGATTAGCAGAAATAAACTCATCCATGCCATGTTTCTGCCCACGGTCTGTATCTGTTATACAAGGAAAAATGTGCAGAACAATACATGTGAGTGTGTGTTCAGACTTACAAACACCAGGGTACGTATGGCATATAAGGCTCAATATCTAAGCTTTCTTGAAAGTATCTCAAAGAAGTAAGTTATACAGAGAGATGCTTGCAGGTGAATTATTATAAAATCTTGATCTTTTAATCTGAAAATATTAATAATATACTGAATTATTTTTCTATCATACCAACTTACAAAGTGTAACAGTGAAAAAAAAAATTGCTACCCACTGACAGAGAAACCAAAATTTAGAAAGGCTGCCAGAAAACACAACATAGTACATTAAAAAAGTATTAAAGCATTGTTTTCTAGTGGGCTCTGTGAATGTTTCAATTTAAAGACAATGTTATGAGTAGAAAAGAAAATTATTCTGGAATTTCCAAGTTTATTATGGTTCTCTTTCTAATTTTAGCAAAATAACCACAAAATATTAAAAAAAAAAAAACAGAAAAAGAAAAAAAATTAAAAGAACCCCAAACAGGTTTCTGCATTTATTTCTTCAGAAAAGAAAGAGCATCTTTACTGCACTTCAAAGTACCACTTAATAGAAATATTCATCATGGCTTGAAGCCTACTTCTCAAATGGCAAACTGGAGCAGAAATGAACACACTGGCTTCAGCTAGGTCATTTCCAGCCTTCTTTTTGTACTCGGCTTTTAATGAGACAAACCTTAATGTAGTAATGGCAAAAAGCTCCTTCAACCTTCCAGCAAAGTGTACTGAAAAAGGGAGCATCATTTTTGTGTAAATACATTGAGAAAGCATACCATCCCAAATGGCACTTCAATCAAAGGCCCAAATTTATTGTTCTTCACAGATTGCATCTTTCAACGCCTTTAAACCCCGCGGGTTTATCAAAAGAGAAGCTCTAGTGATTGCTTTCATTAATGTTATGTTTTGTCAAAGTCTTCAATGTGAATTATGTATCTAGTATGGACAGAAAAAGCCTTACAGTGCCCAAAAGGACTAGTTATGTATTAGCACATTAGCTGTCTTGGATTCTATAGACTGTACTGGGGTGAACAGTCCTATCAACTTAAAAATTGACTTCCCCTTTCAATAGGGTCTTAGCTCTTTGTTCCTTTAAATTCAAACCTAGGTCTTTTTATATTCTAACCAGAAAAGTATAGATCTAAGTGTATCCTAAATGCAATTTTGAAAACCTGCATAGTAGAAATCTAAAATTTCTAAAGAAAGGAGACAAAAGTTTATTGATTAAACCCAATTATAGAGTCAGGTTCATAATAAAACTCAATATTGATCTGTGGGCATGATGCTAACATAATCAGTCACATTTAGAAATTTAGCCCCAGATCATATTGATCCATGTCAACTCCAACTTTCAGCTGTATTTGTGGATGGGAGAATTATTTAATTCAAGCTGAAGGATCTGCAACATCAAATCCTAGAAAGATGCAGAAACTAATTCATATCACTTGGCTTTGCATTGTCAAAGCAAGAGTCACATCCATGTGACAGATTTCAGCAAGGTGGATGTAGCAAATAAACAGTATGACAATATGTCGATGGTGTAAGGTATGAGACCATCACCCCAGAGAAGCAGCAGCATGTATTTTAAATGCTTGAAAGATCTGTAGCATATGTGATTACATAGATTAGCAATATTTCAATGAGCATTAGACTAGCCTATCATTAATGACAAATCTAGCTCATATTTTTGACATAGGTACAGGACATGGTCTCTCTTAAGCAGTACAATTTAACTGTATTTAAATGCATTAATTCAAAGATAAACAACTGATAACACAACTACTTTACCAAAAGTATTGACCAACATATGAAGTTATCTATAGATGATTCCAAAATGTCCACACACAGATAAGACTCTTTCCAATCCATTATATTTAATGTGCAAGTGACTGATTTCAGCATTTCTTATAAGTTTTCCTTCTTATAAGAATATCATGTTTATCATATACTATAAACATTATTCACAGTAAGACATATGACAAAAAAGAAAAAGTAGTAATATTTCTTTTTCCCATTATGTAGAAAATTATACAGAACTGAATCATTCTTAAAAAATCCTTTTGTTTTTTTCTCTGGTTAACCACATCAATATAAAAGATGCCTCTTTTTAAAGAGAGAAGATGTAAGCACTGCCAAGTAATTTAAGTATTTCAAAATCAGGAGACTGGATATTGCAAATGAAACAGATCCAGCATGCTGGTACAGTATCCAGATAATCATAATGAGTAAGGCGACCTACTGAACACAACACAGCTTGTGAAAGCAGAATTTGCTATTACATAATTCGGACAAAATAACCAAAAGTATTGATTAAAGGTATAAACATTTTCTAGATTTAGTTCTAAAACAAAATCCATGACTGATCATCTTTTTCAGTGAATTGAGCAGTACAAATAACATTATCAAACAGTAACAGAAGATCTGTCACCAAATATATTTAAGCAACAGAAAAACAACTAAAAACATACCTTTGCCAGCTGTAGGCAAGCAGGAAATAATGGAAAAATAGATCTACTGTAATACATTTTTATTTATTGCTATGATGTACATACAAGATAATCGGTAAATATTTTGAAATGAAAAGTAATTAAAAAAAATTAAGAACTTGAGCAAAGCCCATGAGGAATTCATACATGGTATATGACTGTGACTAAAACAATTATTCAAGACAATACTTTTAAAAATTGTTAAAGTGATTTATTTTTTCAAATTCTTACATAAATGACCTTTAGGTGTCCTGTTCAAACAACATGCAAATTCAAAAGGCATGTAAGGTGTTATACTGTCATATAGTTATGAAAAAAATACAAATCTATTTTTCTCTACACTTCTTCAATCTTGGAAAATATTGGGAAGATATTTGGGGAGAGCTTTGAAGCAGTAATATTTCTTTTGCTTTTTCACAATTAGCTTTTCTTCCCTTCCTAATCAAATTTGTTGCCATGCTTTCTATGTTGCCTTTAATTCGAAATCATTGGCTGCTATTTCCATGTTGCACTGTTTCAGGCCGTGTACTTCATCTTTTGGAAACTATCCTGGTTTTTTGGGGTTTTTTTGGACCAAGATAGGACAAATAAATATATTTTCAAACAATGTTAAAAACTAACAAAAGCTATTGCAGGATATTTAGCACATTCTTTGGGTGTTCTTTTAGACAAAGATATTCATTTGGGCAGAATAGCATTCTGCCTTTTGCCACCTTTGCAAGAAACTTTAAATTTTAGTCCAGCTGCAAAGGCTATTAAAATCATCACATCCTCAGTGACTCAGCTCATACAGAGTTGACTGAATTAAGAATTTCATGTTTATGGCACATTCTCAAGTGGTTCTAGCATTCCTACACAAGATCTCTGCCCCGTTCCAGCCCAGAACCCAATACACATTTCCTGCATCATCTACCCTGTGCTAGGGTGAACTACAGGTACTGGCCTTGCTGAGTGGTGACCCCCTCCTTTTTGTGGCTCTCAGTAACATCTCTGCTTGATTTTAAGTGTCGTGAAAGCAATTTGAACTAGCTCAGGCAGGCTGGAAAGAAGAGACAGTAGAGGCAAGCAATCTAATATTGTAGAGATTAAAAAGATTTAAAAGACTAAGACTAGCAGGGTAAGAACTATGACTCTGTTCCAGAAGGGGCTGGAACTGTTTAGAAAAGACAGTGGTAAGACATGCATTACATTCCTTCAAGTGCCACTCCAGACAGATGGTGACAGCTTACATTGGGAACATTTTGACTTCTGATCATTGACCAGGACTCCAAAGTGCTACATGGGCCAAAGAGCCAATCTGTGACCCCAGAACTTTATAATTTAGGTACCAGGCCATGAAATAACTTCTTCAGAGAAAGTGGCAGAGAATGAGAAAGCAGCTGGCCCACATGGCCTGACTGTCGGGCTGAGGATACCACACGGACTGATTGCCAGTACTTTGTTGAAGGGCGGATTTGAAGCGGATTGTAGATAGTTTTTACATGTTCCTGACTAGTACAGAAGAGAGCACACAGATGACTTTCTGTCTGCCTAAGGTGGTGGAGGCTGGTGTAAACATTTTCTTTCTAGAAGGGGGACAGGGATTGTTGGAGGCCAGCAGGAAATGGACATTAAAAGGGAATGGGGAAACATGCAGGGAGGGTGGAGTTCCTCCACTCTTCCAAATGGCAAAAGGGAACGGTGCTTTGGTGCAAAAGGTAAAGCTGCAAAACCTGCCAAGAAAACTATGTCAAATGAAAAAATATCTTTTATTTGTTTGTTTCGAAAAATGTAATTAATTGAAAGAGATTGTGTCTGAACTCATGAGGGTGTGGGTTCAGAATGATGTTTGGCTTTGTGTTTCTTCATTAAGATATGACAATTCCCTCATATGCTGCTTTTAACTCCCGTGTTATGAACAAGTTATTAGCAGTGCTAGACACTCCAGCAGCCTTTTCAATTGCATGAATATATCTCCTAATACATTGCTCATTAAGAAAGGGATCACTTCCTGAACCTTTATGTGATTCAAATTAATCTGTTTTTCATTGGTGCTTTCCCTGAAACATTAATGTCCTTGGGAAACTTCTGGCTATTCTACAATCATGAATCCTTAAAGACTTTGTTCTTTCATTCAACATGCTTATGCAGAACAGTGGAACTGAAGGTCAGTCTCCTTTTCTTGATCATTGCTTACATTAGCCTGTCCTCACTTTTGTTTTGGAGTCACCCAATACCACAAAACTGCAATACCAAGTTACTTAGAGATTAAAAAAAGGACTAGTATACATTTTAGAAGTTGGACAGGTACAACAGTAGTTTGATTCTGTTAAATACCACTTTCAGATGCTTTTCATAACTATCAAGAAAATTTCAGGATGAAAGAAGGTATGTTATAAACACAATACAGAAAAACATTGAAATATTTCTCCTCAAGTTGACTTTTTTCTACATCCTGAAGTTTAAAGATATTTAATTTTCTCCAAGTTATTGAAAATTCTTTTTGAACATTTTATCAAGGGTGAGTTGATTTTTCATCTTAGAGGATAAAGAAAATGGGGACAGACTTTCAAGGTTTGAATGCCATTAACTGACATTTGTTTCCCAAAGCCCAAGCTGGTTTTCTGATTTCTGTACATGGGGATGGCATTGCATAATATACTGCAGAGACCAAAATAATGTGATCTTCTATTGGCTGGAAATACTTAAATTATGCATTAATAGGAAAATAAAAATAATAAAAATAGTAATGGTCAAAACTGTATTTCCCAATACTAAAAATGTACCATAGTAAAGAAGAAAAAATTGGAAATTAATTTCATTTCAAATATATGCCAGCTCTCGAGTCCATCGTGTTATATCTTGATTAGAAATAAAAGACACTTAGCTTCATGCAGACATTTTTCTAGGGGAAAAGAAAATGAACTTCTCATGAAACTGAATCTATTTAAATGTGACAAAAGGTCAGCTATAGAGTGTTTTTAGAAGTGAAACTATACCTCAAGGAATTCAGCACGGTACATGTTTAAAGGAAGTAGGATTCTTGAAAATTATGTAAGGTTATATCTGAAAAGCCCAGTTCTTGAAGTTTCTTAAAAAGTGATTAATTTGATTATGCCCATTTCTACCTCAAGTGCAAAAGATGAAATAAAAAAAAATTTCTCATGTAGAGAGACCTGGGGTATTATAGAAATCAGTCAAACAATGGTTCTAAATATCACATTAAATTAAATTACACAAGTTACTCTACTGCAAAGAAATTTATCAATTATTATAAGTTATGAATTATTTTGTGAATTATTACAAAATATCAACATTGAAGTATATTAAACCCAAAGGAAAATAATAACTCTAAACGTGGATTTTTGATTTATATACAGTTCAGTTGTATGAGACTGTGTAAGTAGATACATAAGCATGACAGAAAAATACATGATATTTTAGGCTTTTGAGCTTCCCTTAAAACATCTTTAAAATAATCCTTACTTTTTCTATGGCTTCCACCTAAGAACTGTGGTCCCTTTAAAATAATGTCTAAAATAATATCAAGATGTGTCAATCCTTCTGTTTAATTCTTTAACACTATCAGTAATTTTATCTTTGAAAACACAATTTCAGTATATCCAAACTTGTGATTGCTTTTTGTACCTTTTTTTTCTATAATTTTCATTGCCCTGTGGTCAGAGTTTTTTAGGTGCTTTTACTTCCAGGTAAACACGGTGCCCAAAACCAGTTGCGAGTCCTTGGCTCCTGCTGTCCGAGGTCACTTTTGTACTTTCTAATTGATGCACATGAAGCAGGGACGTTAGTGACACAGTGAGCTCCCACCACGCAGCACGAATCCAGGGAACTGGGAGGAGCTGAGCAGAATCACCTCCTGGCTGTTGCCCCACCTTTGCTTTTGCAACATTACTTCCATCCTACTTCACCTTAATGGCCCCATAATGAAAGATTACTACACAAAGTGTTTCAGATTAATTCCCTTCAAAATTGTTTCAGATGAAAAACAGATGTCAGTGCTTTTGTGAGGTTAAACTTTTTTCAATGATCTTAACATTGAAAAGCTCAATGACACTGAGAGCTCCTCAGGATTTTAGATAAATATTACTAAGTTTAGCAAGCATATTTTACTGTTCTCTAAAAGCAAACTGATATAAGATTACAGGATGAATAGAAGGTCGTGAGACTGAGTGATACCCGGACTGAGAGAGGAGAATGGGTTTGGGTCAACCTGCTACAGATTTCAGACACCAAACCAAGTTTAGTCTAAAACTTATGTCTCCCTTCTACCCCTATGCATGTATGGTTATATTACAATGAAGAAGGATTATTGTATAATAATCATATAATATTCCAGAAATTTGATGGCTACTGCAAAAACTTCTTGGATTGCACTCAGCCACAACATTAAAAAAAAAAAAAAAAAAAAATTAAATGTGCTTCCTTTGTGCAGATAGCTACATGACAGAATACTTTCAAAGAGATAATATGAAGATTTAAAATATGTTTAATATATGCTATCTACTTTGACTTCTTATCAACTTTCTTCAGAGAAATTCAAACCTGAATAATTTAAGAATTTTTTATATGCAATTTAATATTATACTATGTGGCAAAAAGAATCCAGGAGCCCATCAATTGCCTTTCAACTCACAATGTACTGTCTGCATAGCAATTTTTTGGTAACTAATACATACAATATATGATAAAGCTGACCTAAATCTATAAAAATTCTGAGAATAGATTAATGCTTTTCTATTCAACACTACACTGGCTGGCTAATGAAAAATAAAATGTAAACCAAATACCATCTCCATGGTAATATATAGGTCAATTGTAAGGAATATGAAGCTAATTGCTGTATTTTCATGGATTATAATAAAAATAATGACCTGCAAGTCAGGATTTCCCTTGTTGTTTATAATAATCTGAGTTAAAGAGCTTCTGGCTAACAATGAACTAACAGACACATTTGCCTAGTGAATAAGTTCTGCTTAATTAAGCTTCATTGAGGGAGCTGCTACATATTTTACCATCTAAAACCAAAACCAAAGCCACAAAAGGAAAGAAAAGCCAACTTACAAAGTGGGGATATATCTGTGTTGGCATTGCCTCCTTTAAGATTCATCTTCTGAGCTTGACTTGCAGGAACAGGCTTGTAAGATTGACCTGTGGCTCTGTACATGGCTTGAACCCAGAGTATTCTATCCTGCTCATCATCACTGGCAAATATCACAGTATCGCCTTCTTTAACAGCGTTGAAAAACATTCGACCACCCTGAAGACCTGAAACAGCAAATAAGAAGGTAATCTTGATCAATGCAAGTTACTTCTAAATCACCATCAATGTTTATTACATGATTGGTTTTACTCGGATATGTGTGTGTGTGGAGGGGCGTGTTAAAACATTTTATAGGTATTTATGACAAAAAAATAAGATAAATCAAGAGCTATAATGATCAAATGGGAATACAAAGAAGTAACATGAGTAGAATAAATATAGAAATCACAGGATAAAATATTTACATGACTCCACTTTAAATTCAGCTCCAACTTATTAATCTTCTCTCTGCCAAATGCTATTTTGCATTTTTTTAACGTATTCTCCTTCCTGAAGAATATGTTACCAACTGGAAATCCCTGTCATCTTTATCTCTTACTGAACAGAGACAGCTCCATATCCTTTATCAGTGCTGCTCTTCCTTAGTCCTTTTTCCTGATTGCAGTGTTTTATTCTGAGAGCACGTAACCAGAACAGGACACAACAGTCAACATGGCTGTGCTGAGGATTTCTTTATGACAGAATTGTTTCAGTTTTCCAAATGCCTTCTGAGCATTGTTTGCCTTCTCAATTATTCTAAACATTGACACAACATTTTCAAAGATCAATCTTTAATGTCTCAGAAGTCTCCTAATTTCGTAACCCTCCACTGCATAGGTAGAATTGTTTTTCTCTGCATGTGATTTCCCTCTTCCATTTTAATATTAACTTGCGGAGATTTTTCTGTATCTTCAAATTTATTTTTGATAACTATGAGTAACTTGTCTTTTACAGGCATTGGCATAATTTGTCTTGGTTTCTAAATTATTTATGAATATACTTCACAGTATACTGCCACATGCCACCACCATCAAAAAAAGGAAGGGGGAAGACTTACTAGACTTTTCCTTGTATTATATGTGGTCTTACAATGCTTCAGGAAACTTTAGTGTGAAGTTTATTTTTCATTAGTCTTACAACAAGCTTCTTTCTAAAAACGTGATTTTTCACATCAGAATGTCCTAGTGACCGAAGAACCTTGGGAGTTTTTGCTGCTAGATGAAAATGAGCAAATTGAAACAGCTATTTTACACAAATACATTGTGGTTCAGTATCCTACTTCAAAATCATGAAAAGTACCTGTGTGGGGAGCTGTGTAATCCACAGTGTATCCTTCTAGCTGCATCAGTTCCTGAGGCTCAGACTTCTTTTCTCTGTAACTGCACATTGCAAATGTGTATTGGCTAACCTGAAAAAGGACGGACTTCATAATTACTGAATTGCATTTCAGAGCTGTATAACAAATGTACCATGGTTTAAATTAGCTTTCATTTACACTGAACAAATGAAAGCTAGTTTAATTTTTTCTTTTCCCTTTCCCAGAAGTATTTATAGTGTAAAATTTCTCCTGCTTTCCCCTTTCTGCCAAAATTAAGGAAAAAAAAACTCCAAACAAAACAAACCATAAGCACACCTCTCCGCAGTTTCCTGAAATACATTTTAGGCTGGTGCTTTATGAAAAAATGAAGAAAAGCCATTTAGATTTTGGTAGGGAAGATATTTATTATTGTGGTACTGACCAAATTACTCAAATTGTAAGAGGAAAAAAATAATTGTATTCCAAGAAACTCAGAAAACAGGAACTTTTATGTATAAAAGTGCTGTTTGCAGAAGGAGTGACACAATTACCATGAAACTGGAAAAAGGAACATATCATCTGGCCAATTCTAGTTTATGATGGCAAGCATCAGAACCTTCAGTTTGGTTTTATAGTCTAATCTCTGTACCTTTTACATCTGTGTTCTGACCCACCCCTGCACTGCTTGGCTCACTGGATAATGTATGGTGTAAGCCAAGCTGCTTGCAGCTGGCACGGACAACATTAGTTACTTGTCATCAAGTGCAATTATCAAAAAACTTATAAAGCAATAAGAAGAGAATCTGGTTTTTGACTCTGTAGACAGAATAGAAAATGGTAAGGATAGGTGAGGAAAAGCTGACTGGAGAGATAAAGAATGATAAAGAAAGAAATGTAATATCTGGGAGGAGAAGAACAATCACTGAAACAAAACCAAGGTTATCCCAGCTTCACATGAAGAGTATTATAGAAGATGACCAGAAGAAAGAGCACGTGAATCTGTGAACACTTGAAACTAAAGGGAGCTGAATGCATATGGACCTCTGAAACTCTCATCTCCAAGGACTGTAGGACATCCAGCCACCAGACATTTTTTAAACTATCTGTAAAATTATGCTAGAATTAGATAGGTAAGGAGCTCATCGGATATATAATGGATCATTTTTATTTCAACTGCTGACTTCTCAGCTAACTTACCTAAATTTATTGTTTTGGCTACAACTTCAGAAATGATGTTTTTTGAAGTAAAATGTGGACAGCTGACTTCAGCTTCATTCATATATTTGTTGGTGCCGAACCTTTACTCTTTGTAAAAGATTGATGCTTTTTGAAAAAAAGGATGGAATTTTGATAATTGTCTGGATAATGCTCAAAAAATATTTCATTATTTTATGTACTGGGGCTTTTTTGAAACAGGATTATGCTATCTACGTGTATGCAGTGCATGGTGACTGAACATCCCCTGGCACAGCCTGTACAAGGAAAAGGAACAGGTGCAACAGCTCTCTCTGTAAAGTGGCCATCAGGCCTCAAATGCTAAACTGATGTCTCCAGAACCACAGCAGGAGTCTAGGGAGAGAAACTAAACATAGCTCTTCTAGTTTTAATTATTTCTTTAGTTAAGCAAAGACAGTTTTACAGGAGATAAGAATTTGAGGGACACTGTCAGGCAACTGAAACTGACTGTCAGCTTTCCACATCAGATTTTGTACGTTTGCTTAAATGGGCACACCAAGACCACATTAAATATACATAAACACAAAAAACAATCTAGTCTACCCCAAAATTCAGATTTTTAGCCCAGAAAGGGACTACTACAAGCAACCAGCCCATCCTCCAACATGACAGGTGTAGAAGAGTTTCACCTCACTATTTGTATCTTGAGCCCACAGTTTTGCTTTCATTCATAGTATATTTTAGAAATTAACTATATTTTGGTTTAAATATTTTAAGGTATCCCTGGGCTGATGAGAAGGGCCTTGCAGACAGGGTCCAGCTAGGAGCAGAGCAAGCAGCCCCAGCCCTGGGCACAGGCCAAGGACTGGGATGTGGGGAATTGGAGACCAGCCCTGCTGTGGCATTTGTGGGGCTGGGGATGACGATGGCCCCAGGAGATTGAAATGGGAATCTGGGCTGTGGACAGAGACAGCCGGGGCTGGTGGTCTCCTTTGGGAGGGGACCCTGGCATGGGGCTCATCCCTAGCCATGCCCTCTGCTCTAGGCCTGGCAGCAGCATCACCTCTGCCACTGCTTGGTGCCTGCTTCTTGTCCCACAGCCATACCTGCCCACAAGGACAAGCATGGAGGGAGCTGCTGGCTAGTCACACAACTCTAAATTCTTTGCAGTTAGCATTATATTTAATGAGAGCTTCCTCCTTTTCTTTTCTTTGTAAACTGAATCTACAATTTTAATTTTTGATACCTGGCACTGTAGTAAGAACATTTTTCAATTTATTCCATTTGGTTGAATGAAATAAGCTGGCAAGGACCCAGATTAATCTCTCACATTTTCATGTCAACAATTCCACATAACCACACTGTATAGGCAGTCTGAACCATCAAAAGGGAAGCTAGCAAACACTAATCATGGAAGTGCATAGGATGCCCATATTTTTCAGATTTCTTCAACCACTGAATGTTTTTGAAGATAAACTTGTGCAAGATCTGGGTTATGCATCTTTATTCATTTTTATCCTTACCACTATAAAAGACACACATTGTAATGATGCCGATTTTATTTTATTGAACATATTGCAAATGCATTCTCTTATTTTAAAGGAACAATCAGTCATGATTGCTGACTTCAACTTTTTGTTGATCTTTTGACTGACTGTTTTGTTGATCTTTTGACTTTCACCTCACTTGTTGAAAATGAGTCATTTTGAAGTTTCTTCATCAAAGAAACAGAAGAAGTTCAGAAAAGTTTTTTTGGGAAAAAAAGTCTCAACAAAATAAATAAGTACAGAACTTGCCTCATTTATTTACACTTGAAGTCTCTTCAACCCTTTTCTTTATGGTTGTCAGTGGCTGCTCTTACTTACTACAAAGAGAATCACCAGCACAGTCTGAAATAACACTTTTTAATATAGATCCATGACTGAGTTTAAGTGTATTATTAGTAGTAAATGGAGCTTTGCCTGAGAATTCAGCAAATTAGCATAAACACTTCCTAGACTAATGAGTACTCAAAAAGTCAGGACTATGTACAACACATTCTCAGAGAGAAACAAAGAAACAAAACCAGTTTGTCCTCTTGAATGGTTATCTTGACAGAATAAAAGGCAATCCTCTTCCTACAACTGCATTTACTTGAATTTTGTTATTTTCCAGATGTCCAAACATCTGACTAGCATCTGTACTACCTGTTTTGTAACAAGGGGGAAACCCAACAGCCTATGCATTTATGACAGACAGGTACAGAAAAGTGATTGTGACTTTTGAGGAATGTTCCCACAGGGCACAAAGACTCTTTAATGTGCTGGGAGGAAATGCTACTGCACACCTGGCAGCTGATTCTGTGGTGTCTGCTACAGGCCATCACTGGGCAGCCCGCTCCAGGAGTTCAGCAGCAAGAATTAGCCTGCGTGGTTTGTGTGTTTCGAAAAAAATTATCCATGAAACAAATGACTGACTTTTCAAACATTTGACCAGGTGAAATTAAAATGACAGAAGTGGATCTGCATTCCAATTACTGGAGGAACATACTAGACAGTAAATTAAGTAAAACACATCAGGTCCAGCTGAGGCTTTTTACCAACCGTGTTACGTCTCTGTCTTTTTCTGGTTTTAAATTAATAACCTTTTAGAGAAGTGACTGGATACTAAAGGATAAAAATCAAATAAAATGAAGAGGTTAAAATTTCCAGATACTGTAACCTTTCTGTAACACTGAGCTGTTCTTTCAGAAACCACTAACAACTTGTAATAGGTGCAGCAATAATGAAGGTGCACATTACTCACACCACACTCTGAAAAAATCAACATTATTCATCTAATGTCACAACTGAGTTAAATTTTCAAAGTGTGTGTAAACCATACTGGTAGCCTCTGTTCTGGCACTGAATTTCATGTCCTTGATATTTTACTACTGTAAACTAAAAGTTAATCTATAGAGGAAGTCTTGTCAATATGTCAATAATATATCAATACGACAGACTGGTTCATTACTGAATGCTTATTTCACATCTATTGGCTTCAGCTTATTGCAATTGAATGTATCACAGCAGGACTATATAAATGAGCCAGAGCTGTCTGCACAGTAAATATTGATTTAACACTGTATTTTTTATATAGCTTTATTGAACTGATAGCTGTTTTAAAATTAAATAGATGACTAAATCCCATCACAGTAGGAAAATTCCTGTAATATTCTCCTCAAGTATTTCAATTTCAGCATAGAGAGTAGAAAATAGTTAAAATTAACTTGACTGGAATAAACAGGTCTCCCAGATGATGGTTCCATATTGCACACACATGAAGACTATGTGTCTCTTAGATGTATAATTTATAAATCAGATGGCACCTGTGGCTTAGAGGAAAAGAACAAGTTCATTCTTTCTGTGAAAGGAGTGACAAGTAGGATGAGCATTAAGGAAAATCATGAAGGACAAGGGAGCATGTAGTCTTCCTGTTTTCCTTTGCAACTTGAAATTATTTTCTGTTCACAGCCATGCCTTAACAGCTATCCTATATAGAGATCTTCCCAACAAATATTAGTAGTCACAAAATGTCCTGATCTCTTCACAAAGGACCTTGGTAAAATCAGAACCCAAATGAATTCTGTAGACTTTACAGGATCTCCTTCAAATACTCTTGGCTTTTAACATTCTAAAGAACTTGTTCAGTAATATTTTTTTACTGACTTTAATCACTTAGGAGTAGGAGAAGACCAGGTAAGTGTGACTGACAGAGTGATAATCAGGCTTTCTATAAAGTAGTTTGAGAAATTTTTCTTCTTAGAAAAGCCTCATTAACAGGTTTTAACCTTTGTATGATACTTATGGAGACTCAGACTTTAAGAGTTTTCTGTCAATAAAACAAAGGAGACAGAACAACATTCTCTGAACTTAACATGAAGAACATAAAATGTAATCTGAAGACAAACACCAACAGAAGACTATTACTTTTTTCCAAAGACTTCCTAAAGTCATTGATTTCTCTGTTTTGACCACTCAAAATCTACAATTCTATTTATCTCAAGTCAATAACACCATTCACTAGCATGTGAAAATACTAGCAATTCTGTGATTGGACAAAAAGTTGTAAAATATTAACCTAGCACTTTTTTTTTTTGGCCAAAAACAACTACTACACCATATTTTCTATAACAATTATATATATAACAATTGAATATTGCAAGGAATAAAAAAAATAGCCTGATTTAAAAAAAAAAAACAGAAAAAGTTATTAATGTAAGTATTATTGTTTTAATTTCAAAGGCAGGAAATATTTGTTGAGATGGAATAAATTAAACAGTAAGTACAATCCATTTTGTGAAAAATTACTTTATTTTTAATTGAGTGCTGGTAAAAAGCCGTCAACAGACTATTACAAGGTCACAAAAATTTCATCCAGAAACTTCTAGGCTTCAGTTGAAACATTGCTCAGTGTAAGGACCCATTTATACATGTGCAAAAGTTGGTAACATTTCTGTTTATTAGGTATATAAGTTAAAAAAGAAAAATAAGCTGGATGTCTCCGTGCTGCAAGAAGCTTGGAGTAGTACTGCATGTGTTGCCTGGAGATACTGATTTACAAACTACTCCAGAAATCATACATAATTTATAGACCAAGAATTATTTTATTGACATTTCATGGCTAACTACTAACCTGAACAAGGACAAAGTAGCGTTTTTTCCATCGCTTCCAAACCTTCTGTCCTAGAGCATACAAGTACCTGCAAAGGAAACAATAAAGGCAGTGGTTTTCCATTACTAAGAAGCATGACATTAGGAGGACCAAAACCAAACCTATGTCTTAATTTACTCTGTCTACTGAGCTGTTTCTTCATATATAAAAATGTTGTCATATATAAAAAGTGATTTTTCTTCTATTTACTCGTATCATAAAAATGTAAAGAGACATTCCTTTTCACTCAAGACAAAAATCAGAAACATGTTTGCAAAGATTAACCTGCTTACCACTTTTTATTTCACCAATTTTATCTGAAAAATAGAAAAAGTAGCTTAAAGTGGAACACTTTTGACTACACAGAAATACTAAATGTTAGAAAAGTTGATGTTCCCAACAGTTTTTATTCTTTTTATGTTTCTTTATTCCTAAGTTTTTAGTTCCAAGTTTTTATTGCTTGGTTTCCACAGATTTGATAGTGTTTATTTAGTCTGTGAGAAGTCAGTCCCAGAGACAGTGTGATAAAATGCTCATATAACACAATGTCAGCAGACATACAAGATTAAATTTTTTTTTCAGAGTAAAGTAGAATCTAATTTCCCAAACAGAAGCACTTCACTATAAAGGCTCTTAGATTACAAAAACTCCTTGTCACTTTAGCAATTTCCAGGCCTTGAATCAGAGGACATAATCAGGAGTACCAACCAGTGAGATGAGAAAACCACAGATGCTGATACTGTTTGGTGGTAGAGAGAGCACTCATTACCCAGTGAGTTTCCCGGCATTATAGTGACATTTTTTCTGTCACTGTGGTCGTGTTACACTGTTGTTAACAAAGACAGCAAGAAGAAAAGGATAAGCTGTGAGATTGTAAACAAGAGCCCACAAGTGGTAAGGCTCTGCTGCTTAAAACCTGGCAGGAGAGCAAAATATTACCTGTGAGATGCCCCTTCTGTCTGGCCAGCTTCTGTCAAGGACATCTGGTCAAAGGCAGAGCAATTTGCTCAGACCAATGAACGCTGGCTTCACAGGGCACTCTGCAGAGGACGCTGGCACATGCACTATGAAGTAGCTACAATAACTAGGATGGGAGATGGTTGGTCAGATGACTGACAGATGAACATGGGCCTCTCTGGTAAGGGAATATGGTCTGCTGCCCTCTGCTCACTCCTGCGGCTTCGCTGCCCGCTAGTTTGCACTTCAGTCAGAAAACAGAGCAATAAACCAACATCTTATGTGAAATGAGTAAGCAAGATGAAGGCAAAACCTTTTTATACCTCTCCTGGGTGTACTCTCAAAAATGTATTCTCCCACACTGGGCATCACAAAGGACAAATTTATGTCTAAAATAAATGTTCATCATACTGCTTATTAATTGCTGTTTTTCAGGTTATGTAGTGACTCCCTTTTTATTATGACACCAGCGTTTGTCCTTCTTCAACTTCTGCTACACCTGCATTGAAGGACTACCTTACTTGGTTACTCTGCTTTTTCCTTCATATGAGGTTGAAAAATATCGGCTTTGTATACACAATTACCGGTTGATGTGGCTTTCTTTGTGTAGTCCAGATCTTGCCACAGTCTTTTTAACTTCTTAATTCTGTGACTATTTTAAGTTTAGTGAAAAGAAAGGAGTAAGGGTTATGTCAGAAAGAGTACAAAAAAAAAAAGACCTACTAGGGTTTGTTTTCAAATTTATAATATTTTGCAACTAAGGAAGCATTTACCTCACAGACTTATGGTCACACAACCTCCCACAAAATACAAACTGTTTTCCTTTTCATACATGTTTCAGAGCACTGGCTTTCCCCAAAACACAGCATTGCTATTGCCATGCTAATCTCTACGATTGTCAGAGGGTGGAGGGGAAATAAATTACAAATTTCACACAGCCTCGAAGTTTAGTGACCTGAGGGAGAAAAGTAAAAAGTCACAGTTGGCCTTTGGTCTTTCTCAGTCCTAAAACTGCCCTGTTCTTCATGGTGATTCTGCCACTGCATCCCTCTGCATTCCCTGGAGTACCATGAAGGTTTTTTATGTCAGAAGGTTTTTTATTCAGATATATGTCAGAAGGCAACTGCCCCATTTTGAAACTGTATTTTGAAACACAGTTGAAAATACACAGTCCCCCAAAACTACAGTTCAAAGACATCCTGACCATATTCCCACCCTCTTGGCGTGTCTTAAAAGACTGTAAAGAAGCCATAGATTAACAAAGGCTTCTTGCCTCTTGCATATCAGAAAATGAATAACCCAATCTTGGAAACTCTATGCTAATTTGTTCTCATTATTAACTGATCATGCTGCAGAAATGTGCTTTTAAAAAAGAGGTCTTAAAAGAACATTAGTTATCACAGAAAAGGTGATGTTTTTATATTACTTGGCTGCCTTTTAAATTACTGTTCATGTAAGATATACCACCTATAGTTCTGCAGTACAGGTAGAAAGGATATAAGATACAGTAAATCCGAAAGTATAAAATAATAAAGCACACAAAAGAAATGAAATAGCAATGTGCACTTTTATTCCTCCTATAAATCACTTCCAACTAAGGTGTTAAATAAGAGATTCCTTGGGAAACAAAGGAGTGGAACATTAAGTACCTAACTTTAAAATTCACAGATCTTACATAATACCAGGTAACAAGGAAAATAATACTCATGGCACAAAGCTGGGATTTAGTACAGAAATGCAAAGAGAAGACTTATGCTGTCTGGTTTTACAAATCACTATGAACAAACAGTTATAATATGTTATTAATCCCTCTTCCAGCGCCATCTCTAATGGTACCAGTTTTTTCCTAATGTACAAAGTTTCAGCCATTTACAAGGGGTAAATCCTGTGATCATCTTAAGTGTCTCTGCTCCTGAAAGATAAAGAGATTAATTCTTACTCAAAAGTCTAACATTTTTAGGTGGAAGGACCCACCTCAGCTTCTAGAGTCTTCTTTGAGCCTCTCCTCATTAATTTTCTAT